CCCCGGGCAGCTGGAGGGGAAGGATTTGGAGATTCCTATAAATAACAGCTCCAGGAGACACAGGAGAAATTCCCCAAGTGCTCGTCGTGCCCGAGTCCCTGGCTGGCTGTGGTGACAGCTGCTGGAGCGGCCCCCGCGACCCGCGGGGTAACGCCTGGGGGGACGGGGGACTGCGCGGGCAGCAGGTGAACGGTACCGGGGCTGCCCGGTAAGAGCAGGGAGCCGGACCGGGGGGACACGCAGGAGGAGCTGCTGTCCCGGCAGGTCCGGCTGGGCGGGGACCGGAACATGGGGAACCCGGGGGGTGATGGGCGATGGATACCGGGACACGGGGGGGTGATGGGTGATGGATACCGGGACACCGGGGGGTGAATCCAATGGATACCGGGACACGGGGGGGTGATGGGCGATGGATACCGGGACACCGGGAGGTGATGGGCGATGGATACCGGGACACCGGGGGGTAATGGGCGGCGGATACACGGTCGGGGGTACCCGAAGGAAGGGCGGGCCCGGGGTTGGGGTGGGGACGGGCGCGCCGCACGTGACCCCGGGACACGTGGCCACGTCACGCGCGCGCCCCGCCCGGCGCGGCTCCGGCGCGTGCGCAGCGGCCCCCTGCGGCGGGGGTCTTCCCCGATGACGTCACGGCGCAGCGGAACCAATCAGCGGCGGGCAGGGGCGGGGCCTGGCGGCGGCGGCGGCGCCGGTCCCGCGGGTCCAGCGCGCTCCCGGTCCCGGTCCGGCCATGGCCCAGCGCGGCGGCCCCGCGGTGCTCCCGGACAACCCCTTCCAGGACCCCGCGGCGCTGCAGGCCCGGCCCGGCGCTGTGCTGGATGGCTACAACCCCTTCGAGAGCGACGCGGTGAGCGGCGGGGCCTGCCCGGGCACCGGGGCCTGCCCGTGTACCGGATCTTCTTCCCGGGCACCGGAGCCCTCCCCGCTGCCGGCGCGGGTCTCACGTCTCTGCTCTTCCCCTGCAGCCACCGCCGCCCTTCCAGACCCCTTCGGTAGCGCCGCCGCCCCCGGTACCGGCGGCCGCGCAGCCCCCGCGGAAGGCGAGTCCCACCGAGCCCCGCAACTACGGCTCCTACGGCTCGCAGGTACGGGGGGAGGCGCCGCCAGGCCGGGACACGGGCACCGGCGGGAACCCAAGGGTTGTGTCCCCCCTCTCCGCAGGCCTCGGCCGCCGCCGCCACGGCGGAGCTGCTGAAGCGGCAGGAGGAGCTCAACCGGAAAGCGGAGGAGCTGGACCGGCGGGAGCGGGAGCTGCAGAACGCGGCCCTCGGCGGTTCCCAGAGTGAGTGGCTGCGGGGCTGGGCAGGGGTGGGACCCTCCTGGAGCCCTCCTCGCTCCTCCTTACCCCTTTCCGTCCGCAGCGAGGCTCAACAACTGGCCCCCGCTGCCGTCCTTCTGCCCGGTGAAGCCGTGCTTCTACCAGGACATCCCCGTGGAGATCCCTGCTGACTTCCAGAAAACAGTTACAACCATGTACTACCTCTGGATGGGTGAGTCTGCAGTGGAGCCTCGGGGCAGAGCCTGGCAGCAGGTGAAGGATGAATTTCCTGTGCTGCTGCGGCGGCGGGGAAATGGGGATGAACAGGTGGTTGTGGGCGCTGGGGGAGCCTGGACGGGCTCCTGAGCTCTGTCCTGTCCCTCAGCCAGCACCATTGCTCTGTTCCTGAACTTCCTGTCCTCGCTCGCCTGGTTCTGCGTGGATCCCACATCCGGCTCTGGGTTTGGCCTCTCCATCCTCTGGGCTCTGCTCTACACGCCCTGTTCCTTTGTTTGCTGGTACCGGCCCATGTACAAAGCCTTCAGGTGTGTCCCGAGCCCTGGGCACCTGCTCCAGCTCCTGGGGGCCTCTGGCTCTGCAGGATGTGCTGTTCCACCCCGAGCTCCCTGTTCTCCTGCTTTAAGGAAGGTTTGGGAGCTTCCTTCTGTGGCCTAACCGTGCCCATTTCTTCCTCCCAGGAGCGACAGTTCCTTCAACTTCTTTGTCTTCTTCTTCGTCTTCTTTGCCCAGAACGTGATGTATGTGCTGCAGGCCATTGGCATCCCAAACTGGGGATTCAGGTGGGCCATGTGCTGACCCTACAAAGGCAAGAGGTGGATGGGGAGGAGGGAACCTGGGGTCACTGCCTCTTGTTTTGCAGTGGCTGGATCCTGAGCCTGATAGCGCTGCGGACTAACACGGCCGTGGCCGTGATGATGATCCTGGTGTCCTTGTCCTTCACGGCAGTGGCTGTGCTGGGGATCATCATGCTGAAAAAGGTGGGTTGGGATCAAAGCCTGCAGCCAGAGCCATCCCTCATCCCTTTCGGGGGAGGTTTGGGCCATCACAACTCTGTTTAACTGGGGCCTGCAGCCAGAGCCATCCCGTTGGGGAGGTTTGGGCTGTCACAAGTCTCTTTACCAGGGGCCTGTAGCCTGAGCCATCCCTCATCCCTTTTGGGGGAGGTTTGGACCATCACAGCTCTGTTTACCAGGGGCCTGCAGCCTGAGCCATCCCTTTCAGGGGAGGTTTGGGCCATCACAGCTCTGTTCAATTGGGGCCTGCAGCCTGAGCCATCCCTGATCCCTTTGGGGAGGTTTGGACCATCACAACTCTGTTTACCAGGGGCCTGCAGCCTGAGCCATCCCTTTCAGGGGAGGTTTGGGCCATCACAGCTCTGTTCAATTGGGGCCTGCAGCCTGAGCCATCCCTGATCCCTTTTGGCGGAGGTTTGGGCCATCACAGCTCTGTTCACTCAGGACCTGCAGCCAGAGCCATCCCTGATCCCTTTCAGGGGAGGTTTGGGCCATCACAGCTCTGTTCAATTGGGGCCTGCAGCCTGAGCCATCCCTCATCCCTTTGGGGAGGTTTGGGCCATCACAGCTCTGTTCACTCAGGACCTGCAGCCAGAGCCATCCCTCATCCCTTTTGGGGGCTGTTTGGGCCATCACAGCTCTGTTTCCCAGGGCCTGCAGCCCCAGCCCTGACCCCATTCCCTCCTGCCCCAGATCCACTCCCTGTACCGCCGCACGGGTGCCAGCTTCCAGAAGGCGCAGGAGGAGTTTGCAGCCGGGGTTTTCTCCAACCAGGCCGTGCGCACGGCCGCGGCCAACGCCGCCGCGGGCGCGGCCACCAACGCCTTCCGTGCCCCGTAGCCGTGCGGGCCCGGCCCCTCCCGGCGCCCCGGGGCTCTTCCCGAGGAAGAGGAAACCCGAGTCGCACTTTCACTGGATCCCCATCGGCTGTCAGAGGCTGCCTCATCCCAGCTTGGAAGTGCTGGTGCCTGAATCGTCTGCTGCTCTTAACCCCCTTTCCTCACGGACAGAGGCTGTTGTGGTTTGTGCTGGTCCCCTCCCCTCAGCAGACTGGGGGGAGCAGGGTGGGGAGCCCTGAGCCATCGCCCTCCCTTCCAGCACCAGCTGCTGGGGGCAGGAGCCTCCCCAGATGGCTGGAATGCTGCTTCCAGGGACTGGAACGGTCACTTGCCTTCCTTGTGCTCTCCTGTTTCCCCACCTGGTGATGACGCTTGTGCTCCCTTAGGGTGTGGGAGGGTCCCCTGCCCCCCGTGTGCCCTGGGACCCCCATGCTCTGCCAAGAACGTCATCCCCCTCTTCCTCCTGGGGCTTGCTCCAGTGGGATGAGGATGGGGCTGGTGCTTTCCCCAGGGTGTCTCGTCCTTTTGTCCTGTCCCTTTCCCCATCCTCTCCCTCTCTTCAGGCCCAGGGATGAGGAGAACAGGGCAGGGACAGGCAGAGCTCGGGCAGCTGCTGCTTGTGGGGATCCTGCCTTTCGTCCATGTGGAGCCCAAAGCCAGGCTGGGTGCCGAGGAGCAGCCCTGGCGTTTACATGGCACCCCTTTGCCTCCAGGGAGGGCTGAACAGCTCCTGCAGCCCCCTCCCCACCCGCTTCGAGGACTGTGACCCCCTTGCTGCCCCCAGCACCCTTCAGCCAAGGCCTTCGGGGGCTGAGCCAGTCCCGGTGTGCAGCCCCTCGCCCCCCTTACCTGCCCTCTGTCCCCTGTCCTGGTGTCCCTGGGGATCCCCAGGACAGGTCTCACGCGTTCTGCTTCAGTCCATCTCCTCTCGGATGCTCCGGGGCTGGCGAGAGGCTTTGTGCCTTCAGCCGTGGGGGCCGGTGCCCTCCCGGTCCCGCTGCGGCCGGGGCTCCTCCGGGCGTCCCCGCCTCCTCCGCTGCTCCCCGTGTGCTGTTCCCGACCGCTCCCGGTTTATTTAAGAAATAAATGAAGGTTCACACCCCTCCTTCGCCATCTCCGTGCGGCACCCGGGGCTGGGGGGAGCGGCGGGGCCTCTGCCGGTGTCGCGGCTCCCGGGGCCGGTGTGGGCGGACTACAGCTCCCGTCGTGCCGCGCAGGGGCGGCCCCGGAGCGGGCGCGGCCAAGCCCCGCCGGCCTGGGGGACCGTCCCCGCCGCTCCCGGCGCTCCGCCGCCCGCCCGCCTCCAGCTGCGGCCCCGGGCGCTCCCGGAGGGCGCGGCGGCGGCGATGCTCGGCCGCAGCCTCCCGCCGCTCCGGCGTCCCCGCCCGCCGCTCCGCGCGGCGCCGGGGCTGCGGGGCGCGGGGCGGACGGACCGCCGGTAGCCGCCCGCCCCTACCGGTACCGGGACCCGGCCCTGCGCCCGCCGCCGCCCGCGGAGGATGCTCCGGTCCGGAGCGCGGCTCCCGCCTGCTGCCGCTGCCCCGGGGGCCGCGTCCCGGGCGGCGGCTCTCGGACCCCGCGGGGCGGGATGAGCTCCCGGCGGGGGCCCGGCGCTCCACCGACGGCCAGGGAGGAGGCGGCGGTCCCGGGGCCGCGCTCCGTGTCCGGCCGGCGCTTCTAGGCCGGTTCTGTTCTCCGCGGAGCTTCAGGCGGCCCCGGCTCCGCGTCGCCGTGGGCGCTGCCCGAGCCCCCCCCGCCCGGGGCAGGGAAGAGCCGCCGTCAGCATCCTCCGGCAAGGCCGAAAGGTGGAGCCCGGCCCGTTCCCGCAGAGCGGCTGCTCCTGCTCCCCGCGGTCCTGGCGCGGTGCCGCCGCCTGCCCCGGGGCTCCGGGGCCGGCCCCGAGCCGCCGCCCGCCGCGGCCATGCCCTCCCCCACGGACTCCAGCCGCTCTCTGACCGGCCGCAGCTCCCGCAGCCTCACCCACCTCCGCCTCCAGCGCACCTGGCTGCAGGTCCTGCTGGTCCTGGCTCTCGTGCAAGCCATCCTGGGCGTCCTCATCGTCACCTTCAGCCTGGTGGCGGCCACCATCACCCCCTCCACCAAAATCCGGCACTCGTGCCCGTCCTGGGCCGGCTTCTCGGTGAGTGCGGGGCCGAGGCGGCGCGGGGAGGGGGCTGCGCTGCCCCCCCGGGACCGAGCCCGCCGCCGGTCCCAGGGGAGGGCAGCCCCGCTGCTCCCCCACCCTCTGCCCGTTCCTGCCGCGGTGCATTGTGGGAGAATCCCAAGGCCTCCCCCAGGGTGACTCTGTGAGGGATGGGGACCCCCGGGGGGTGCGGGGGAATGTCTGGGGTCTGCAGCCACGGGCAGGGAGGGGTGTGGGGGCACCACTGTGACCACAGGGCAGGGACGGGGTGGCGATGGGGGCTCTGCTCTGTCTGCTGGGTATTGGGGTGGGGGCAGCACCCGGGGTCCCCCGTGGTGACCCTGCAGCACGGATGCTGGCCTGGGTTTGCTGCCCAGCCAGAGCAGCCCGCAGTCCCCAGGCCCTGAATCAGCAGTTTCTCCCATCTCGTGGCGCCAGGGCTGCTCCTACAGCCCCACTGCTCCCGGGCTGGCTCCAGGCCTGCAGGGACCAGGGGGCTCTGCCCGTGGGCAGGGGCTGCTCTGGCCCCTCTGCCTAACAGAGCCTTCTCCCTGTGCTCACCCCGGGGCTTGTGCACCTGCAGCTGGCACTGTCCGGGCTGGTCGGCATCGTCTCCTGGAAGCGGCCGCTCACCCTGGTGGTAGGTGTTGGGGGGACACCCTTCCGCAGGCGGGGGAGCCCAGGATGGGGAGGCCGAGCAACCCCCGTGCCCCCGGTGCTCTGCCGGCTCCCTGCTCCGCCGGCAGCCCCTCTCCTCCCGCTGCAGATCGCCTTCTTCACGCTGCTCTCGGTGCTGGGCGTCATGCTGAGCCTCGCCGGCTCCATCCTGTCGTGCCAGAACGCGCAGCTGGTGAAGACCCTGGAGGCCTGCGAGAGGGTGAGGCCGAGCAGGGACCCCCGGGCTCATTGCTGGCTGTGGGGGGCTCTGGGGAGCTGGTGGGATGTGCTGGCGGCTCTCAGGGGATCGCCCGGCATCCAGAGCTTCCTCGCAGTGTTTCTTGTCGCCAGGAGAGGGACACGTGTGTCTGCTGCCAGGCCCGCTCGGAGCCCCCGCCCGCCTCCTGCAGCCAGCAGAGCGAGCAGCTGACCATGTTCCCCAACGCCAACTGCCGGAGCATCCGTGTGGCACTCAAGGTGGAGGAGCAGGGGGATGCAAGGGCTCCCTGGGAAGCGGCCGCACCCCCGGCCATGCTCGGCGGGCTCTGCAGCTCACCCCACTGCTCCCCAGGATCTCCTCTTCAGTGTCTGTGGCTTGACCATCTTCTCCACCATCATCTGCATGCTCTCTGCTGTCGTCTGCTGCATCCAGATCTTCTCCCTTGACATCGTCCATGTGGTGAGTGCCAGCTCTGGCCCAGGAGCAGCAGTCCCAGGCTGGGGTGGTCCTGGGGGTACCAGCCAGATGCAGATTAAAGCCCAGGATGCACATCCCTCGCTGGATCTCAGGGCAGGAGGTCTCAGCTCTCCCTTGTCCCCTCTCCCTGCAGCTGGTCCCACAGCGCTCGAGCTCTGTGACATTGGAATGCACGTCCCCACCTGACACCTTCCTGCAGAGCATGATGGACTTCGAGGAGTTTGTGCCTCCAGTGCCACCTCCCCCCTACTACCCACCTGAGTACACCTGCAGCTCTGAGACAGATGCACAGAGGTACCAGCTGGGAGCGAGGCTGGTATGACAGGGGGGTCCGTGTGCCCCCAGGCTGGGCTTGTCCCACCCAGAGTGGCTTTTCTGCTCTTGCCTCCACAGCATCACCTACAATGGCTCCATGGACAGCCCCGTGCCCCTCTACCCAACCGATTTCCCCCCATCATACGAGACTGTGATGGGGCTGCGGGGAGACAGCCAGGTGGGGGCTGTGGGGCCATGGGCAGGGCAGGCTGGGCAGGATGGGCTCCAGCTCAGCTGAGCTCTGTGCCTGCTGCCCCACAGGCCACCCTGTTCGACTCACAGCTGACAGAGGGCTCCCACGCCTGCACCTGCGACCGCGTCCCCTCCATCGTGCTCAGCGGGGAAGGTGAGGGCTCCTCCCCCCGGGCACGTCCGGCTCTTCCAGCAGCTCCTCAGCCGTGCCCGTCCTCTCCTCTCGCAGTCTCCATGGACAGCGGGTCCCTGATCATGTCCGAGATCATGGACATCCCCGGGGACAGCAGCCCCTCGGAGGACTCGTGCCTGCTGGAGCTGCAGGGCTCCATGCGCTCCGTGGATTACGTCCTGTTCCGCTCCATCCAGCGCAGCCGCGCCGATTACTGCCTGAGCGTGGACTGCGTGCAGTGCAGCCACCACGCCCGCAGCCCCACGCTGGCCCTGCAGGGCCCCTTCGAGGAGATGCCCCAGCCCCGCGTGCGGGGCGAGCGCTCCTATTCCTGCTCCACCGCGGAGCCCGGCCCCGACGGCGGCGTCCTGGTGGGGGGAGCCGTCACCCACAGCTGCAACCGGCTGGTGGGGCCGGTGCGCTGTGCCGGGCCCTGCTTCCCCGAGGTGCGCCTCAAGGACAAGGGCTCCTCGCTGCAGGGACGCGGGGGTGGCCGCCACACGGACACCGCCACCGCCGGCCGCCCCCGGCGCAACAGCGAGACCTCGTGCCCTTCGTCCCCGGCCCCGGCGCTGGCCCCGCGCCCGCTGCTGAGGTCCCACAGTGACCCCGGCGTCCCCATGGCCGGCCGTGCTGGTAGGTGACAATGACGTCCGGGATGGGATGGGATGGGAGGGTGGCAGCAGCGTCTGTGCGGTGCGGCCGGGATGTGCTGCAAGGTTTGGCTGCGGTTTTGTGCGGCCAGGTGGGATTAGAGCCAGTCTGGGATGGAACGGGGCGAGCAGGGGAGCTCTGCTGGGCTGGGAGCAGGGGTGCTGCAGGGTTCTGCTGCCCGGGGTGTGCACGGCTGCCCAGGCCTGAGGGCTCTCTCTGCTCCCAGCAGATTTCAGGGAAGTACTTTATACCAAAGCACTGGAGGACACCGTGTCTGACTCCTCCGCTGATACAGGTCAGGGCACTGGGGTGTACTGGGAGAGAAAGGGGGCGTGGGGGGTGTCTGTAGCCCTCTGGGGATTGAACTCACCCTGCTGGGGCTGGGACAGTGGGGACCAGTGGTGGGAGTGCTCCTGCTGACTGGGGATGGGACACAGCAGGACCCCAGGGCTCTGAGGATAGGTCTGCTGGGAGCAGCGTCCTGGGGTGTGACAGTGGGGACAGGTCCATCAGAGCAGTGTCCTGGGCCTGACAGTGGGGACAGGTCCATCAGAGCAGTGTCCCAGGTCTGATGATGGGGATGGATCCATCAGAGCAGTCTGACAATGGGGACAGGTCCATCAGGGCAGTGTCCTGGGCCTGACAGTGGGGACAGGTCCATTAGAGCAGTGTCCTGAGTCTGACAGTGGGGACAGGTCCATCAGGGCAGTGTCCTGTGCCTGTCAGAGCAGTATCCTGAGTCTGACAATGGGGACAGGTCCATCAGAGCACAGAGCAGTGTCCTGTGCCTGTCAGAGCAGTGTCCCAGGTCTGATGGGGGGGATGGATCCATCAGAGCAGTGTCCTAGGTCTGATGACAAGGATAGGACTGCCAGAGCAGTGTCCTGGGTCTGACAATGGGGACAGGGCCATCAGAGCTGTGTCCCTGTTCTGATGACAAGGACAGGACTGTCAGAGCAGTGTCCTGGGTCTCACAATGAGACAGGTCCATCAGGGTAGTGTCCTGTATCTGATGATGAGGACAGGACTGTCAGAGCAGTGTCCTGGGTCTGATGGTGGGGATGGATTCATCAGAGCAGTGTCCTGTGCCTGTCAGAGCAGTGTCCTGGGTCTCACAATGGGAACAGGTCCATCAGGGCAGTGTCCCTGTTCTGATGACAAGGACAGGACTGCCAGAGCAGTGTCCTGGGTCTCACAATTAGACAGGTCCATCAGGGTAGTGTCCTGTATCTGATGATGAGGACAGGACTGTCAGAGCAGTGTCCTGGGTCTGATGGTGGGGATGGATTCATCAGAGCAGTGTCCTGTGCCTGTCAGAGCAGTGTCCTGGGTCTCACAATGGGAACAGGTCCATCAGGGCAGTGTCCCTGTTCTGATGACAAGGACAGGACTGCCAGAGCAGTGTCCTGAGTGTGACAGCACCCCTCCCACAGGGCTGTGCTCCGAGGCCTGCCTGCTCCACCGTTCCCACTGTGACTCCCCGCCGCTGCTCCGGGCTGGCTCCGTGGGGAAGAACAAGCTGCCACCCTCCAAGAAGGTGCCACAGCAGCTGTCAAAGACAGCCACCCGCTCCCTGGGGGACCTCAAGGGCTACCGGGGCACCCGTGGGCTGGTGGCCAGGTTCCTGCAGAGACCCAAGCGCAGCATGGAGGTGTCTGGGCACAGCTTCCATGGGCACAAACAGGTGGGTTCTGGAAGCTACAAGGGATGGGCAACTCCTCCTTCCCAGAGAACTCCCATCCACGCTCCCCTCCCTTCTCTCCTCATCAACACCTCCACCCTGGCCCTTCCATTGTTTCCCTTCCCCTGCTGCACCCCCATTGTGTGGGCACCCTGGCTGCAGGCAGAGCGTTCTTCCTGCAGCACTGTCCTTGCCCAGCCCTTCCTGGGGGGCAGCTCCTTTTCCTTGATCCCCACTGGAGCCACAGTTGGGAAAATCATTCCTGTTGCAATGGCTTTGGCTTTGCCCCTGAGTCACTGCACCTGGAGGCAGCTGCTGGGACATCCCCACAGCTCAGCTTTACGGGAGTCCTTGCGCAGCCCGGGAGGCCTTGACGGGAACCAACCTGTCCCAAATGCCAGTGTGGGCGCGTGATGCACGCCTCTGCCATCCCTGTCACCTCTGTCCTCCTGCCCCGTGTGCTGCCTGGCTGTGCTGGAGTGTGGGGGGGATTGAGCACAAGGGGGTGAGCACGGGAGGGTGGCACAGACAGGGGTGCCTGGGACAGGGGTGGCACAGACAGGGGTGCCATGGGCATGGGTGCCACGGGCAGGGATGCCATGGGCAGGGGTGTCACCAGCAGGGTCCACGGGCAGGGGTGCCATGGACATGGGTGCCATGGGCAGGGGTGTCACGGACAGGGGTGTCACGGACAGGGGTACCATGGGCAGGGGCGCCATGGGCAGGGATGCCATGGGCAGGGATGCCATGGGCAGAGGTGCCAAGGGCAGGGGTACCATGGGCAGGGGTGTCATGGACAGGGATATCACGGCCAGGGCTGCCATCCCTGTGGCTGCAGCCCGTCCCCATGGCTTGCAGGTTCCCTGGAGTGCCTGGCCAGGTGCAGAGCGGCCCCACGAAGGGATCCACCTGCAGAGCTGCGGGGACCTGAGCTCCACCTCGTCCCTGCGGCGGCTCCTGTCCTCGCGCCGCCTGGAGCGCGGCCGCCCGCGGAGCCTCAGCGGGGCCTGCAAGGAGAGCGCGCTCTGAGGGCACGGCCGGGCAGGGACCCTCCTCCCTGGGGGGGAATCCTGCTCTGGGCTCAGCCCTGGACATTGCTCGGACATTGCTGCTGCTGCTGCCCCGGTGGGGCTGGGTCCTGCACTGCTGCCCCGGGGGTTCGGCCGGGCCCCTTCCCCAAGCAGGGCTGGGGTTCGGGGCTGGTCCCCTGGGGTGTCTGTGGGGGGCTGGGACAGCTGTGCCTGTCCCCTGCCTGTCTGGGATGGTTATGCCTGTTCCTTGCCCTATTCCTTCTTCTGGACATGCCTGTCCCTTGCCCTGTCCCTTGTGCCAGCTGTGCCTATTCCCTGGGATGGCCACGCCTGTCCCCTGCCCTGTCCCATGTTGTGGCTGTGCCTGACCCACGCACTGGCCATCCCCTGTCCCCTGTGCCAGCCGTGCCTGTAGCCTGGCATGGCCGTGTGTCCCCTGTGCCGGCCGTGCCTGTCCCCTGCCCTGGCCATGCTGTCCTTTGCCGTGTCCCTTTGGCTGGCTATGCTGGCTTGATCCTCGGTCCAGGACGACCTTGCCTGTCCCCTGTGCTGGCCCGGTCCCTGGCCTCCTGTGCCAGCGTACCCCGGAACTGCCATGCCTGTCCCTTGCTCTGTCTCCCGTGCCCGTCTCCTCTCCAGGCCCTCCGCCCCGTTCGGTGCCGGTCCCGGTGCTGGCCGTGCCCGTTCCTCCCCGCCCGGCTGCGCCCGGGCCGCGCTGAGGGGCCGGTCCCGCGGCCGCTGCCCCTCGCTAGAGACCGAATAAAGGTGGTCGCCGCCGCCCACGGGGCCGGTGTCACGGGGCGGGCGGGGCCGAACGGGGCGGGGCGGGCGGTCAGCTGACCGGTCACGGGGTGCCGGGTCCCGGTTTCCCGGTAGCGGCTCCGCGGGACGGGGCGACCGGTGCCGTCGGGGCCTGGGGAGGCAGCGGGGACCGAAACCGGGAACAGAACCGGGACCGGCACCGGCACAGGGACCGGCACGGGAACCGGGACTGGGACTGGCTGCTCTTCTCGGGGACGGGTCGGGGGGAAGCGACCCCGTTCCCACGCGGTTCTCCCGGTTCGCGGAGCCAGAACCGGAGCGGGGGAAGGGCCGGGGCCAAGCCCGCCCAGAGTCGGTGCGGCTCCTGCACCGGGTGTGGGCGGGACGAGCTGCCCGGGCTCCCTTAAAGGCAAGGCCGGCGGCGGAGCCGGTGCTGTCGGGCCGGCTCCGAGCGCACCGGGAGCGGCGGGGCCATGGGGGCGGTCGGTGCCCTGTGCTGGCGGCTGCTGCCGGTGCTGCTGGCCGTGCACCGGGCCGCAGGTGAGCGAGGGGGACCCGGGATACGCGGTGGGCCCGGGGATGGGGGTCCCGGGGCGGCCCGGAATGGGAGGGGAGGAGCTGGGAATACCTTTGGAGTCCGTGGCCGGGGATGCCCGGGAGTTGTCTGGGGGTCCGTGGGCAGCGCGGGGCTCGGTGCCCGGGAGGTGCCGGCGTGTGGAGCACGGGGGCAATGGCGTCACCCCCGGAGCAGGCGGGAGAGCTGCCAGGGACACGTCCCTGGGGCTGCCCCCACCACCCTCCGTGCCCCCCAGGCGCCCGGCCCTGCAGCCCCAAGTACTTCGGCCGTGATGCCATGGTCTGTGTCTGCAATGCCACCTACTGTGACACGCTGGACCCCCTGGTCCTGCCAGCTGCCGGCTACTACGTCAAGTACGAGAGCAGCAAGGCCGGCAAGCGGCTGGAGCGGAGCGAGGGGAAATTCCAGCACAAACTCTGCGCCCCAGGTACTGCCGCGGCCGGCAGGGATGGGATGGACCCTGCAGCAACCCGCCATCATGCTGGGCTCCCCTCCCTGCAGATGTTGTCCTCAGGCTGGACACGACGCAGCGCTTCCAGAGGGTGAAGGGTTTTGGTGGCTCCATCACCGACGCAGCCGCCATCAACATCTTATCCCTGCCGGAAAGAGCACAGGATCACCTGCTGCGCTCCTACTTCTCTGAGGAGGGTAGGACATGGGGGACACAGGTGGGATGGTGACAGGGAGTATGGACATCATGGACACCTCGTGTCCCGCTGTGCTGGCAGGGCTGGAGTACAACCTCATCCGGCTCCCCATGGCCAGCTGTGACTTCTCCCTCCATGCCTACACCTATGATGACGTCCCCTACGACTACGAGCTCACCCACTTCGCCCTGCGGGACGAGGACACCAAGCTGAAGGCGAGCGGTGGGAGGGAGCAGGGGAGGGTGGAGGGTCATGGGGGCTGAGCTGAGCTGGCCCCTCCACCTCCTCCTGCAGATCCCCCTCCTTCACCGAGCCTCGGCCGTGAGCAAGTGGCCGCTGTTGCTGTACGCCAGCCCCTGGACCTCCCCCACCTGGCTGAAGACCAGCGAGTCCTATGTGGGGAAGGGGACACTGAAGGGGCAGGCAGGGGACAAGTACCACAAGACCTGGGCCAACTACTTTGTACGGTGAGGAGCTGCTGGGGCCAGGGGAGATACCCGGGGGCCTCTCAGTGGTGGCACTGGGGACTCCTCACGGTTCGCCCCTTGCCCCCACGCCAGGTTCCTGGATGAATACGCCAAGCACAATGTGACATTCTGGGCAGTGACAGCAGAGAACGAGCCCACGGCAGGGCTGATCAACAACTACCCCTTCCAGTGCCTGGGTTTCACAGCTGAGCAGCAGAGGGACTTCATTGCTCGCGACCTGGGCCCAGCACTGGCCAACAGCTCCCACCGCCACGTCCAGCTCATCATCCTGGACGACAACCGGCTCCACCTGCCACACTGGGCCAGAGTGGTGAGTGTGGTGACCCTGGGAAGAGCCCCTGTCCTTGTGGGGGGCTTGGGTGCTCTGCCTGTGAGGGCTGGGCCTCTGTGCCCCATGGGATTGACTCTTCTCCCTGCCAGGTTCTGGAGGATGAGCAGGCAGCTCGCTATGTCCATGGCATCGGCATCCACTGGTACCTGGACTTCATCGGCCCCATACAGGACACAGTGCTGCCCACTCATGAGCTCTTCCCTGACTACTTTATCCTGGCCACGGAGGCGTGCATCGGGGCCCATTTCTGGGAGCGGGATGTGATTCTGGGCTGCTGGGAGCGGGGCAACCAATACAGCCACAGCATCCTGACGGTGAGGCCCCTGCGTGCTGGCCCTGGGGAGGGTTGTTGGTGCTGGGCAGGCATCTGAGCTGTCCTGTTGCAGAATCTGAACCACTTTGTGGCCGGCTGGACTGACTGGAATCTGGCCCTGGATCTGGAGGGGGGCCCTAACTGGGTCAAGAACTATGTGGACAGCCCCATCATCGTGGACAGCAGTGAAGGCATCTTCTACAAGCAGCCCATGTTCTACCACATGGGGCACTTCAGGTGGGTTGGAGCCCACAACATGTGCTAAGCTGCCTTGTCCTGAGAGAAGCAAGGCAAATTTGGCTCGAGAGGAGCTCTTCTGGGGTCTCCCTGAGGTTGTTTCTCATTTGTCTGTTCAGTAAATTCATCCCCGAGGGCTCCCAGCGTGTGGGGCTCGTCGCCTCCAGAGAGTCCAAGAAGACAGCGCTGGAGTACACGGCTTTCCTGCGCCCTGATGGGGCTGTGGTTGTGGTGGTTCTGAACCGGTGGGTGATGCAGCCTGGCCACCCCTGTGAGGGACCCCTGTCCTGCCAGCCGTGTGCGGGACCCCTGTCCCATCACCCCTGTGTGTGACCCCAGTCCTGCCACCCCTGTGTGTGACCCCAGTCCTGCCACCCCTGTGTGGGATCCCATCCTGCCACCCCCGTGTGGGACCCCTGTCCCATTAGCCCTATGTGGGACCCCCATCCTGCCTGCCTTATGTGGGACCCTCGTCCTTCCACCCCCATGTGGGACCCCCAAGCTGCCACCTCTGTGTGGGACCTTTGTCCCATCACTCCTGTATGGCATCCCCATCCTGCCAGCCCCATGTGGGATCCCGGTCCTGCCACCCCCGTGTGGGACCCCTGTCCCATCACCCCTATGTGTGACCCCCATCCTGCCAGCCCTGTATGGGACCCCATCCTGCTGGGCCCTGTGCAGGTGCTGCAGGTGTGACCACCCTGCTGTCACCCCGCAGGTCCCCCCAGGACATCACCTTTGGGCTGGCAGACACCGTGGGCCTCCTGGCGGCCGTGGCTCCGGCCAACTCCATCCAGACCTACGTGTGGCAGCGGCAGTGACGGGGCCGAGGCGCCGGGGGCCAGATGTGCAGCCCCATCTGCCCGCGGGCTCGGGCCAGGGGCAGCGTCCTCGGGGCTGTGACAGAGCCAGAGCGGGCCGGGGACGCTGAGCGTGTGCAGGAGGGCCGGGGGCACGGTGCCCCTCAGGGTGGAGACCCCACAGGCTGTGAGCGCTGTGTTCTGCTGTTCCGACATTAAACACGGATGCTGCCTTGATGTCTGCGGCTGCAAGAGAAAGCTCCGGGTCCCTCCCCCGCTCCTGGGCACTGTGGCTGGGTGCCACCCCGGCGTGGAGCCTGCTGGAGCCTGGAGAGCAGCACAGAGCAGCTGGAGCGTTGTGGGCAGCCCCCTCTCCCTGCTCTGCCCCTCTGCCCAGCTCGGCTCCCGTGGGGCTCACCCTGCTGAGATGCTGCAGGCAGGAGTCTGCTCCCAGCTCTGAGCATGCACTGCCTGGCTGGGGCTGAGCAGAGCCCAGGTGTGTTCCTGCTGCTGATGGGGACAGGTTTTAGGAGCTATCAGGTGGCTCGGGAGTCACCCTGAATGCTCTGGGTGCTGCATCAGGAGCAGGCACAAAGCACTTGGACACCCACCCTCGATGGAAGGGCTGAGCAGGGATTGCAGCCAAGCCTCAGCTTTCTGTGCTTTCCCTGCCACTCTGGAGCCACCTGCAGCCCGATGTCAGGCCAGGGGCTCTGTGGGTCACATCTGTCCCGGACCAAGGTCCTGAGGCCAGGGCTGGAGGCAGGGCCAGCTCCAGGAGCATGGCAGCATGGGGGGCTCAGGGTCCCAGCCAGCTCTAGCTGAGCCCCATCTGCTCCTGGGGCCTTTCTGGGGCAGGGGGGCTGTCCAGGCTGCAGCAGCCCTGCCTGGAGCCTCCTGTTCCCCATGGGGGCTGATCTGTGGGGTCCCCACCGTGGTGGGGAAACTGGGGGTGCACCAGGGGCTCAGCACCCACCACAGATCTGGGGTGCCTGGAGCAAGCGGGGGCAGGACCGGGAGTGGGTGCTGAGTGTGGGCGCACCCAGGAAGGAGGGAGGGAGCTGGCAGGGTGTGAGAGCAGGAGATTAGGGCAGGGAGGTCATAATTTCAGGGCGAGGAGGGCGGCGGGGATCCGTGCAGGTGGGATGTGCCCAGGGGTGCTGTCAGGACTGACAGCCGCGATGCTGCGTGGGCTGAGCACAGCCCAGGCGTGGCCGGTGAGTGACAGTGTCACCCTGGGACACTGGCACGCCACGGAGCCACGGGGATGCTGCTCGTGGGACCCCGGGAGCTGCCGCCAGAGTCCTGGCGAGAGCAGCCCGCTCCTGCCCCGAGGCTGTTTGTGTTTGTCCACAAGAGGGAAATGTTTCTCCAGGATCACGAAGCGAGCCCCATCCCCATCGCCCCGCTGCCAGCATCCCTCTCCCGCTGCAGGGCCGCTCCCCCACCTGTTCCTCGCTTACCTGCCCGGCTGCTCGCAGCTGTGGCCGGATGCTGAATCACCCCGGTGCCGCTGCGCTCGGCTCGGTGCTCAAGGACTGACTGGCTCTGGGATAAACGCAGCGGGGGCGAATCCTCCGACGTCGCTGGGCTTGGCTCTGCTCATTAATTCTTGTGCAAAGCCTTGGCTTGTGTGGGGCTCGTGGTGACTGGGGGCTGCTGGTGTCACCCTGGGTCACCCTGAGGACTGTCCCCACGTGCTCTGGGCTGGGGTCTCGCTGTTGGGAAGGAGTTGCTGTGATGCTACACTGAGGCTCTTTGGCATAAATATTAACAAAGATCCCCTGAAAGGTGACTCAGCCCAGCTCCATGTTGCTGTGTCCCCATCCACACTGGCCTGGCTTAGGGACAAAATTCACCTTCTGGCTCCTCTGGTGGCTCCTTTGACCCCACCTCCTTGAACAAACCCACCTGAGCACTGCAAAGGGCGGTCACACCATGCCACGAGGCCCCTGCCACCCCCAGGAGCTCCCCCTCTTTAGAGATTGGCCACAAGAAGCAGCTTTATGGGCTTGGTGGCACTGCCTGGTATCTGCTGTGCCATGTGAGGCGTTGCCTGGCCCCTGGGTCTCACTTTTCCTGCTCAGCAGGGCGCTCTTATCAGCTGGTGTTGATAAGGATGAGCTCCAGCAGCCTCCGCAGTGTTTTGCTTCCAGGAGCTGTGGGACCTGAGCCAGCTGGGGGGCTGTGGGTGATGGGGGGCAGGAAGAACTGGCGCTTGGAATGGGGAAGGGTGAGTGGGGGCATCCCGGATGTCTGGAAGTGAGTTCCAAGGTGGCTGATTGCCTTAGGAGCTATTAATCCCTCCCCAAAATTGGGGCTCATTAGCCTGGGTGTAGCAGTCTGGTCACACCTTAATCACACTTGGGAGGTGGGAGAGCCACGGTGCAGCGGGACAGGGACAGGAGCTCCTTCCTGGGGCACCTGTTTGCCCCGTGAGCTGTAACCAGGGGCTGCCTGGCCCCATCTGCCCCAGTCCCAGAGGCTCAGGTGTCTCATGGCTCAGCTCCCAGCAGAGGGGTGGAACTGTGGCAGGGCCCATGGCAGGGCAATGCTGGGGTTAGGAGGAAATTTGATGAATTGATTTGCCCCAGAGCTGTATCTGATATGCCAGAAATGGAGAAAATTAGTCACAAAGTGCTGCTCCACCCATGGAGGGAAATCTAACGGAGCAGTTTAACCCTGTGCAGGGCAGCCCTGAGCTGCTGATTGATGCTCCAAGCCAGCAGAGCTGTGGCTGGGATGTGGCCACTCTCCATTCCCACACCAGCCCTGTGTGGGGATGCTGAGGATGTCCCCACAGTGAGGGGTACATGTCCACAGGAGTGGGGACATCCTGGGTGATGGCACCAGGTAGGGTCTGTGTGCCCAGGTGAGCTGGCCCAGGTCAGCCTTGGCTTGCTGGGCTGGAGTGCTACAGGAGCACCAGAGCTGGGCTCTGCTCCTGGCATGGTGTTGGGACAGCAGGGTCCCCTTTGAGGTTCTAACTGCTGTTGTTGACAGCTGGAGTGCAGCCCTGCTTGCCCAGGAGCTGGGGTATTGCCTGCTTGCTGCCACTGCTGCCACTGCTGCCACTGCTGTCACTGCTGTCACTGCTGTCACTGCTGTCACTGCTGAGCTGGGCAGAGTGATGCCAAAGGCTTGGGCAGGGAATGGCAAGAGCCCCAGCTCCCACGTGGCCACCCCTGCTGTGCCCCTATGCTGCCCTGAACTGTGCAGCCACGTTCACTGACCTTGCCTGGGTGTCCTGGACCCTCCTGCACGGCCCTGTGGCTCCTGGGGGACAGTGGGGACAGCGGGGTGGCAGGCAGGGATGAGTGGGTGTCCTGTTGGAGGTGCCCAGTAGGACAGACAGCCGTGCCATGAGCCTGCCCTTGGCTCTGCTGGGCTCTCAGGGGCTCATCCAGACCCTGCCTGACAAAATAATCAGCTCCTCCTTCAGTGGGGTCTCAGATCTGCTCCTGTGACCCTTCCCTGTGCAGGTTGGACGTTTCACTGAGGCCCAGCTGCCACACCGTGTCCCTGTCCCTCCTTGCCGTGGCAGTGGAGGGCGAAGGGGACCCGGCGAGCAGGTGATCGGCGGTCCTCGCCCCAGGGCAGGTACGGGCCGGGAGCGGAGCAAGGAGGAGCTGTGGGGGTGGGAGAGGGTGTGCTGCGGAGGGAGGTCTCCGAGCAGCTCCCTGTAAAGGCCAGGTGGGGAGGCTGCAGCTGCTGAGGAGGAGGAGGAGGGCTGGCGGCAGTGCAGGTCGGGAGCAGCCGGGGTGAAGGCGGGCGCGCTGCGGGCTCCTGGCAGGGCTGGACCCTCCCCGAGCGAGATGAGGGGGTTTAGGGGGAATGCAGGGTGTGACAGGAGCTCCGAGGCGCTGGAAGGGGCTGAGGAGATGGGGCTGATCCCTCCATCCCCCTGCCGGGCCTGAGGGTGTCCCCGCCGCAGGTGCTGCTCCCCGGGACCTTCCAGAGCTCGGGGAACGCGGAGGGGCCATGCGGGCTCTCGGCATCCTGGGCTGGCTGCTGCTGCTGCTGCTGCTGCCGCCGGTGCCCCAGGTGGCAGGTGAGCCCGGGGACGTCGCGGGGGTGGCAGCGGGGCTTGGGCACCCTGGGGCAGCGCGGGGCTGGGTGCCCGGGAGGTGCCCGGGAGGTGCCCGGGATGCGGAGCACGGGGACAGTGGCATCTCCCCGGGGCAGGCAGGGGAGCAGATGGGGACACGTCCCTGAGCCGGCAGCCACCCCCACCCTCCCTTGCCTCCCAGGTGCCCGACCCTGCATCCCCAAGGATTTTGGGCACGGCTCGCTGGTCTGTGTCTGCAATGCCACCTACTGTGACACGCTGGACCCCCTGGTCGTGCCAGCCCCCGGCTCCTACGTCAAATATGAGAGCAGCAAGGCCGGCAAGCGGCTGGAGCGGAGCGAGGGGAAATTCCAGAGCAGTCTGAGCACCCGAGGTAGCGCCACTGGTGGGTGGCGGTGCCACCGCGGCCCCTCGGGCAGCAGGGACCGAGCCGGGCTCTTCCCGCAGGGCTGCTGCTGACGCTCAACATCTCCACGCTGTACCAGCACGTGAAGGGATTCGGCGGCTCCCTCTCCGATGCTGCTGCCATGAACATCCTGAAGCTGTCCCAGCCGGCCCAGGACAACCTGCTGCGCTCCTACTTCTCCGAGAGTGGTGAGCAGTGAGGGCACGGCAGTGGGAGCAGATCCTGGGGTCACCAGAGGTGGCTGTGCCTGTCCCCGCTGCAGGGACATCGTCACCTGCTCCGGTGCCACTTGATGCTTTTCCTGCTCCTCAGGGATCGAGTACAACCTCATCCGGGTCCCCATGGCGTGCAGCGACTTCTCCGTGCGCCCCTACAGCTACGATGATGTCCCCAAGGACTACGAGCTGAAGCACTTCAGGCTGGCGGACGAGGACGTGAAGATGAAGGTGGGAGGCTGAAGCCGCTGCCATCAGCACCTTGTCCCCTCTTGTGCCGGAGCTCCTGCGTGTGCTGGGACCCCCAGGACCAGGTGCTGCTGTCCCTGCCCGCCGTGGCAGTGTGCATGGGGACAGCCTGTGGGAGCTGGCACCTCCTCCGGGGCACGTCCTGGCGCATCCCAGCTGGCACGGGCAGGGTGAGGAGCCAGGGCGCTGTGCCGGGGGGTGGTGCTTGCCAGCTGCCAGTCCCTGCTGAGGTCCTTTGAGTTCTCCCGTGCTTTGGGCTCTGTGGTTCTGGGGAGCTGCAGCTGGAGCTGACCCTCTCCCTCTGCCCCCTCCCACAGATTCCCCTCCTGCGCCGAGCTTTGGCCATGAGCAAGCGGCCGCTGCTGCTGTTTGCCAGCCCCTGGACCGCCCCAGCCTGGATGAAGAGTAACGGGGACGTCCGTGGGAAGGGGACTCTGAAGGGGAAGGCAGGGGACAAGTACCACAAGACCTGGGCCAACTACTTCATCAAGTACCGTCTGTGGAACCAGGCTGGGACGGACAGCGGGAGGATCGGGGAGTGGGGTGGGGTCGGGGGGGGCAGCACATCTGATTCTGCCCCCGCTTCTCCACACCAGGTTCCTGGATGAATATGCAAAACGCAACGTGACCTTCTGGGCGGTGACGGCCCAGAACGAGCCGCTGGCGGGGCTCTTCACGCCCCCCCAAGCCCCCACCATCGCCTTCACGGCCGCCCAGCAGCGGGATTTCATCGCGCAGGACCTGGGCCCCGCGCTGGCCCGCAGCCCCCACCGCACACGGCTCCTCATGCTCGACGACCAGCGCATCCACCTCCCGCACTGGGCCAAAGTGGTGAAGAGCAGCGCCCCTTCCTTCCCCTCCGCCTCGCTGCCCAGCCTCAGGCTCTTTGGGAGATGGAGCCGTGGCCTCTCCCAGCCCTAGAGAGTGGGAGCAAACCGGGTCTGCCGGAGCGGCCGCCTCCGCCTGTGCCCGGCGGGAGTGAGGACAGGAGGTGGCACCCACACCCTGGATCCCGGATCCTGCCGCAGCTGCTGGGCACTAGCACCTTTTTCCGGGCAGAGTTTTGGCTGATTTGGTTTCCTCCCATGATGCTGTTTGGGGATATTGCCTTAAATTAGGAGGAAAGAAAGGAAAACGTGCTCCTGCCCCAGCTTCAAGCCAGGCAGTGTGTTCCTCCTTTCCCTCCATGGCTGCAGGGCTGGACCACCCCAGGGGTGTGTGGAGGGAGGACCAGGCAGCAGCAGAGCTGGGCTGGGGGCAAGGGGCCCACTGAGGGGAAAACCTGTGCCCACCCCCTTAGCACTGCCCCCAAGGAGGTGCCAAGGCCATGTTGGGGCACCAGATCCATGCTAGGGTGCTGCTCAAAGGGTGTGGTGCCCACGGGAGGGGACAAGAGGTGGCTCTGAGAGGCCATATGGAGTCCATGTGTCCATCCCTGCAGGCTTCAGGCATGGGTGGCCTCAGTGTGAGGCATCTCCTTTGCTCCCCAGGTGCTGGGAAATGCTACAGCTGCCCGTTACGTGGCTGGCCTGGCTGTCCACTGGTACCTGGACGCCATCGTCCCACCTGCCTGGAGCCTGGAGGCCACCCACAAGCTCTTCCCTGACCATTTCCTCCTCTACACCGAGGCCTGCACTGGCTTCTTCATGTTCCGCTTCGCCGTGTCCCTGGGCTGCTGGGAGCGAGGAGACCACTACAGCTACAGCATCCTGACGGTACAGCCCTCACAGTGCCCTCACACGGCCCTCACACGGCCCTCACACGGCCCTCACACGGCCCTCACAGTGCCCTCACCTTGCCCTCACACGGCCCTCACACGGCCCTCACAGTGCCCTCACACGGCCCTCACACGGCCCTCACACGGCCCTCACACAGCCCTCACACAGCCCTCACACTGCCCTAACTCTACCCTCACACCACCCTCACAGTGCCCTCACACGGCCCTCACACGGCCCTCACACGGCCCTCACTCTGCCTTCACACACTCACAGTGCCCTCACACGGCCCTCACTCTGCCCTCACTCTGCTCTCACACGGCCCTCACAGTGCCCTCACTCTGCCCTCACTCCTCCCTCACTCTGCCCTCACTCTGCCCTCACACCACCCTCACACCCCCAATCCAGTGCTGGGGGAGCCCCACTCAGCCCCTTTCCTGCCCTCCCAGGTCATGAACCACTTTGTGTCTGGTTGGACCGACTGGAACCTGGCCCTGGACCTGGACGGAGGCCCCAACTGGGTCAAGAACTTTGTGGACAGCCCCGTCATCGTGGACGGCAGCAAGGATGTTTTCTACAAGCAGCCCATGTTCTACCACCTGGGGCACTTCAGGTGGGTCAGGGGGGCTCAGGTGTGGCCACTAGCCCCAGACCAGGGGCAGAACCCCTCTCCTGGTCCTCTCCCCACAGCAAGTTCATCCCCGCGGGCTCCCGGCGCGTGGGGCTGCACAGCAGCCGCCGCTGCCTCCTCTGCCAGCTGGAGCACGTGGCCGTCCTGCGCCCCGACGGTGCCCTTGTCCTGGTGGTCCTCAACAGGTCAGCCCAGGCAGGAGATGGGGGTGGTGCCCAACCCCAGCCGTGCCTGCTCAGCCTCTCTCGCTCCCCAGGTTTGGCCGGGATGTGCCCTTTGGAATCCGGGACCCTGCCATGGGGTTCATTGAGACTGTGGCTCCAGCCCACTCCATCCAGACCTACCTGTGGCGCCAGCAATGACAGCCAGGGGAGTGCTGGGGGGCTCAGGGCGGTGCTGGGGGTCAGCTCTTCCCCCACCCTTTCCAGCATCCCTCAAGGGTGGAAGCAGCAGGTGGGAGTGCAGCCCCTGCACGAGGGGCTCCGTACGCTCCTGGCGCCGGGACCTGCTGCTCCCCGCCTCCCCTCCCTCCCGGCACTTCCCATCCCCCTGGAAGTTCCCTCAGCGCCGTCTCCTGGAGCACACTTCCACACGTGGCCCCCTTGAAACCTTCGCGTGTGTGGCGGCCGCCAAGTAAAGCCATGACGCGCTCCCTCCGGAATGCGCCGTTGTTCCCGTCAGTGTTTCCTCTGCGCGCTCGGAAATCGCTCGGTTTTCCTCGCCGGGGCCAGGGCTGCCCCGGGGGCTCCGGCCCCCGTGGCCTGCGGGTGGCTCCTTGTTTATCCCTGCAGCTGGAGCCTCTGCTGCTGCCAGCCCTTGATTCGTTCCATATGTGCTGTTGGTTTTCCCCAGCCTACTTTTTTTTTGGGGGGAATTAAAAAAAAAAAATCCAAATGTCAGATGCTGTCAGAAAGGCAGAGTAAATGATATCAGTGTGCCCATCCACTAAACCTTATGGACAAATTAGGCTGGTGCCACCTCTCCAGGGTGGCCTCTGGACAGAGTCCCCTCTATTCTGGCTGTGGCCAACACCGACCGCAGCCCGGAGTGACCTCCCCGTCCTGTTTGCTTTCCCTAAATACCAGTTACAGTATTCCCTGTGCCTTTGGGAACGTTACCAGCACCTTTGAAGTACAGGAATGAGAAAGCCAGAGCTCTCCTTGGCTAATGCCCCTGTGTGAAAGCCACGGAACTGCTGAGGTTGGGGAAAATGAAAAACCCAGAGGCTTTACAGCTGGTTTATTGGAGTGTGGTGTGAAGGTGGCACCGGGCTCCGTCCCAGCCCTGTTCCTGGAGCACACCAGCCTGTCCTGTGCTTTTATCCATGTTCCTGGGGAGTGCTGGCCCCAACGGCAGCTGGGTCTGGCTGCCTGTGCTTAGAATCATAGAATAGAGTCATGGAATCCTTGAGGTTGGAAAAGACCTCGAAGATCATCAAGTCCAACCCAAGTTCCCCCAGCGCTGCCAAGGCCAGCCCTAAATCACGTCCCAAGTGCTCCTTACACATTTATTAAATCCCTCCAGGGATGGCGACTCCACCATTGCCCCAGGCAGCTGATGCCAGGGCTGCACAGTCCTGTCCATGAAGAAATTTTCTTTAATATTCAACCTAAATCCCTCCTGGGAAATGCCACAGCTCTCCTGATGCAACTTGAGGCCATTTCCTCTTGTCCTGTCCCTGTTCCCTGGGAGCAAAGCCTGAGCCCCACCTGGCTGTCCCCTCCTGTTGGGAATTGTGAAGAGCCACAAGGTCCCCCTGAGCCTCCTTTTCTCCAGGCTGAGCCCTCCCCAGCTCCTCCTGGAGCTCCAGACCCCTCCTCAGCTCCATCCCCTTCTCAGGACATGCTCCAGCCCTCATGAGGGGCACAGATCTGCCCCCCAGGATTTGAGGTATGACCTCATCAGTGCCCAGGTCCTGCTGCCACTCTATTCCTGACACCTTGGGAATGTCCCCTTCTCAAGGGACATCGGACCTCTGCTGTGCTGGGATGGCCCACACAGAGCCCGCATTCCCCGGTGCTCAATAGTGCCCCGGGGCAATCGTGCAGGGAAAGGCTTTAGCCCAGTCCCTCTGGGCTGTCTCGCTGCTCCTGCCTGTTTGGAGCCACAGCAGGATGGTTGTGAGGGGTGGGGTGAGGCTGAAGAACCACCCCCACCATCCTCACTGCCTGCAGCATGGGCTGGGGGATCCCTTCTCCAGGGGCAGCAGGAGGAGCAGGGCCTTGGGTGGGAGGTGTGTTGGAGAGGTGTTTTCTTTATGGGATGGGACTGTTGGGGTACATTCCTTGAGCTTTATTTGCTGCATCAGCCTCATGACACGGTTGAGACAATAGGAAGGTAAAGCTCATGTACAGCCAGTAGCAGCTGAAGATTTCTTTGTTACAGAGCACTTTAAAAACTTTCTAGCCAATAGCACATTGCTAAAGCTCACAGGCAATTGTTTTAGCCAATTACTAAAAGTACTAAAAGTACTCATAACATTTTTTACTTTCAGACTTTGCAGCTGCAGCTAGTTCTCTGCTCTTTCTGTTTCTGAGGCCTGCTTTTCCAGCTCTCTGAAAATCATCTCACCTTTACTATTTCCCACAGGGGGCTGTCACCCCGGCTCGGGGGCTGTGGTTCCTGGGTGGGGATGTGACACTGAGTGAGGGACGGTGGTCCCTGGGTGGGGGTCTCTTCCTGGCCACCCTCCCCAGCTGCCCCAGGGGGACCCCGGGGAGCTGCCACTCCCCCCGTGCCTCTGCCCGCCTCCTGTTTCTCCTGCGGAGCAGATGCCTGTAATTAGGAAGGATCCCAAATTAGACGGTGTGGAGCCCAGACTTGTTTTGCCGATGATAAACCGCTGCTGCCGGCTCCACCCAGCCCGCTGCGGCGTGGGGCTCCGGCCTGCGGGCCACGGCGGGGGCGAGGGGACTTGAGCGGGCAGCCCCCGCTGTGCCCGCCCCAGGAGGGGTCGGGAGTCCCTGCCGGGAGCGGCTGCTGCCTCTGCCCGTGCCAGGAAAGGTCCTGGAGCAGCCACAAGTGGGACACAGGTCGTGGTGGTGGCAGTGGTAGCACAAAGCTGAGGTGCGGCCAAGAGCAGGGACCCAAGGCGGGCACAGCCAGCCCTGCCCTGCCCTGTCCGAGGTGTCCCAGGGACACAGAGCTGCTCTTCCCAAAGGGAGCAGGGCAGGCCTGGCTGTGGGGGGTGATGGAGGCACTTGGGGGGCTGGTGAGCATCCTCCCCTCCCCAGCTTCCCTCTGGCCACTGGAACAGGTTTCAGGAGAGCTTTGCAAATGCTGCGGTGTGTGGAAAGCTCTTTGGAGCCAGGTTGCAAAATCATCCCCAGGCTCCTCTTCAAACACAGAGTCCCATGAGCTGTCCCATTCCAAACTCACCTTTCCTGCTCCTCCAGAAGCATCCCCTCCCATCAGGCACAGCCGGGACACGGGACCTGCCACTGCTGCCACAGAGACGCAGCAGCGAGAGGTGGTTTGGAGGCAGGTGAGTCCCCTGGGTCCGAGGTGGCTTCAGCTGGTGGGAATGGGGACAGAGATGGGCACAGGTATGGGCATGGGACAGCCCTGGGCAGCAGGACCGTGCTGAGGCCATGCCCTGGCCAAGCTGGGCATCATTCCCAGGCAGGGAGTGGGAGGCAATGGAGGTGGGACAGCTGCCTGGCCCTGCTCCACATCCCACAGGAGCTCGGGGAGCAACAAGACAGCACCATCCCACCCTGGCAAAGGTCCCCAGGTGTCCTCAGTCTGGCACCAGGGTCCCGAGGCTTGGAGGTGGCTCCTCCTGTGCTCTCATTGAGAGGCTCCTTGCCCAGCACCATGGGAAGGACAAGACAGGGTGTGAGCACCTGAAAGAACAGGGGAGTGTGGCACTCTCCATGCCAGGGGCTGGAGCCCCAAACCACTCTGGCTGGACAAACCCCAGCTGCCACGCATGTGGGATTGGGAGTGTGGAGCTGTTTGCTCCTGGGCATGGCTCGGGGGGCACTGGGGATACATGGGGTGATGCAGCATGGCATGACATGGCACGGCACAGCTGTGGAACGGGTGAGGAGGGAGAAGAAGTGGGAGGGAATTGATGGGAGTGAACAAAGTTGCTGGGTACAGCCAGCGTGGGCAGCTAGGAGCAGCAGGCTCACACCTGGGGGCTGCCCACACCTGGGGGGCTGCACCCCCACCTGGAACATGGCCAGAACTGTTGGTGGACTCTGGAGGAGTGGGAGGGAAGGTGGGTGCTGGGCTGGAGCAGCGGGCAGAGGGCAGGACAGTTCCTGGCAGGGGGGTTCTAGTGGTCCCCTGGGCAGGGGGATGATGCTGGGGCTCTCCCTGCCCTGTGTCTCTGTCCCTGTGTGTGGCTGGGCCAGGCTGAGCAGCTCTGGGTGCTGACACCTTGTCCTGCTCCCAGCGTGTCCATCGGCATTGTCGGAGCCGCTGCAGCAGAGGTGCCATGGGGCCAGGCTGTGCCAGTGTCCTGGGCTGGCTCCTGCTGGCACAGGCAGCCCTGCAGGTCACAGGTATGTGCTGGCATATGTCCCTGGACTTTGGAGGGTGGCAGATCTGGAGTCTGTCATGAGTCAAAGGGATGAGCTGGGCTCCTGCCACAGCCCTCAGTGCCCACTCACTCTTTCCTCTGCTGCAGGTGGCCGTCCCTGTGATGCCAAGGATTTTGGGCATGGCTCACTGGTCTGTGCCTGCAGTGCCACGTACTGTGACACTCTGGACCCCCTGGTCCTGCCAGCCCCTGGCTCCTACATCAAATATGAGAGCAGCAAGGCTGGCAAGAGGCTGGAGCGGAGCCAGGGGAGCTTCCAGCACAACACCAAGAGCCCAGGTACCACCCTGGGCTGTGGGAGGGTCAGTCCTCTCACAGGTGGCAGGGCTGGTGACACTGTGTGTCCCCACAGATTTCCACCTCACCCTGGACACAACACAGAGGTACCAGAAGGTGAAGGGCTTTGGTGGCTCCATCACTGACGCAGCTGCCATCAACATCCAGTCCCTGTCCAAGGCTGCCCAGAACCACCTGCTCCGCTCCTACTTCTCCGAGGAAGGTGAGCCCAGGGCAGCAAAGCTGTTGGGGTCTGGCTGCTGAGATTTGTTCTGGGGACCTGGGGGATCTGGAGCCCCCAAATGCAACTTGAGGATGCCCATCACCACCTGCCCCGTCCTCAGGCATTGAGTACAACCTTGTGCGTGTGCCCATGGCCAGCACTGACTTCTCCATCCGCCTGTACACCTACGCTGACGCCGAGGGCGACTTCGAGCTGAGGCACTTCAACCTGACCGAGGAGGACACGCACATGAAGGTGAGTCCTGCAGGAAGGGTCTGAGGGACTGGGGCTGCTGCCTGGGTGGGATGGAATGGAATGGATCCATGGGATGGGATGGGATCCATGGGATGGGATGGGATCTATGGGATGGGATTGGACGAGATGGGATGGGATGGGATGGGATGGGATGGGATGGGATGGGATGGGATGGGATGGGATGGGATGGGATGGGATGGGATGGGATGGGGTGGGGTGGGATGGGATGGGGAAAGGGAACACCATCCCGCCTCTGGGGAGGGAGGTGACTCCTCCTGCTGTCCAGCACTGGGACAGACCCAGAGATCTCTGTGCCATCCCACTTCTCCCTAGATCCCCATCCTCCAAGCAGCGCAGGCAGTGGCCAAGCGGCCGCTGTCTCTGTATGCCAGCCCTTGGACCTCCCCGGTGTGGATGAAGACGAATGGAGCAATGACAGGGAGGGGAACACTGAAGGGCAGCCCTGGGGACAAGTACCACCGGGCCTGGGCCAAGTACTTTATCCGGTAGGGGCCACGGGAGTGCGGTGGGTGCCAGGGATGCCATACCTGGAGCTGGCACAGGTGTGACGGGGCTGTTCACCTTCTACCCCACACCAGGTTCCTGGATGAATACGCCAAGCACAACCTGACCTTCTGGGCAGTGACAGCAGGGAACGAGCCCACGGCTGGTGAGATTGTCTTCTACCCCTTCCAGTGCCTGGGCTTTTCCCCTGAGCACCAGAGGGACTTCATTGCCCAGGACCTGGGCCCGGCGCTGGCCAACAGCTCCCACCGCCACGTCCAGCTCATCATCCTGGATGACCAGAGGGTGATGCTGCCCTACTGGGCCGAGGTGGTGAGTGCCCACAGCAGCTGTCCTGGCCCCACAGCAGATCTCCCAGCCCTGGGCACTGGTGACCCTTTTCTCCTGCCAGGTTCTCAAAGACCCTGTGGCTGCCAGCTACATCAGCGGCATCGGCATCCACTGGTACCTGGATTTTCTGGCACCCATCGACCTGACACTCACCATCACCCATCACCTCTTCCCAGACTATTTCCTCCTCTCCACGGAGGCCTCCACAGGCTCCTACTTCTGGGAGCCCAGGGTGGTCCTGGGTGGCTGGGAGCGTGGGAGCAAGTACAGCCACAGCATCCTGTCGGTAGGGCCTGGTGGGAGCTGGGGACACATTGGCCACCCTGGCCAGCCCCTGGGCCTGCCCGTGGCTCAGGACCACCCCCTGCCCTGCAGAACCTCAACAACTACGTGACAGGCTGGACCGACTGGAACCTGGCCCTAGACATGGAGGGAGGCCCCAACTGGAGCAAGAACTATGTGGACAGCCCCGTCATCGTGGACAGCAGCAAGGATGTCTTCTACAAACAGCCCATGTTCTACCACCTGGGGCACTTCAGGTGGGTCAGGGCCACAGGCTGCTGGCTCCAGGTACCACATCCTAAGTACCACACTCTGACCCTGCTTGTCCCCACAGTAAGTTCATCCCCGAGGGCTCCCAGCGGGTGGGACTGGCTGTCTCCAAGAAGTGCCACCGGTGTGACCTGGAGCACTCTGCTTTCCTGCGCCCCGACGGTGCCGTGGTGCTGGTGGTCCTGAACCGGTGAGTGGCTCAATTCTGATCCCTGCCAAAAGGCCCCACTGAGCCCACTGAGCCCCCATCCCCTCTTGCTTTCTCCACAGCTCCCCCACGGATGTGTCCTTTGGGATCTCTGACCCACACGTCGGCTTCATCGAGGCCGTGGCTCCCAGCGACTCCATCCAGACTTTCCTCTGGAAGCAGCCAGCCTAGCCTGGCAGAGGAGGGAGGTGCCAGAGCCAGGAACACTCTGCTGGTGGCAGCTTGGAGAGAAGACTCCAATGGGGTTGGGGCTGCAGCACAGCCCCTGCACCCCAGAGGACCTGTATGACCCTAGGGCTGCAAAGCCTGTGCTTTTCTAGATGTTTCATAAAATAAACAGGTTTTCTACAAACCTGCCTGAACCCCTGGCCTCCCCTTGGTGCCAGCTCTGTGGGCAGGACTATGCCAGGGGCCAGAGGAGACAGATTTGAGGCCCCATGGGTCCCATCCCTCCTCTGCCCAGGTTCCTGGGGCATCCCACAGGGCTGGGGATGCAGGGGGCTGTCCCCATAAGGGGTGGCATCTCTCTCCTGTCTTCCACTGCAGCATCCCCCAGGCAGGGAAGGGCCCAAAGCTGCAGTCAGGACACGCAGCCGGGATTTAGAGCAGAGCTCTGGCGTCGGCAGCTCCAGCTTCTCCCCAGCCAGAGCTGTGCTTTCTCCTGCTGGAGCAGCCATCAGCCCCTGCAGCTAATGGGAACCGGGAGCACGGGGCACATAGTTCCTGAGTGACGTTAGAGGGGAGCGTGCTGGGGGGGGGTGGGTTTGCACTGACTCATCCCCTCCCAGTGGGGCCCCTCGAACTGGGCCAGTATGGGGGAGGCTCCGCAGCTGGCCCAGCACCGTGGCTCTGCTCCAGCCCAGTGTGGGGGCCCCTGGCTACTGCGCCCGGCTAGGGGGGCACAGGAGCGCAGCCTGGGGACATTCAGCCGCCGCAGCAGCAGGGCTGGGATGCCGCTGGCAGTGCCTGGCTGAGGGGCACAGGAGCACAGCCTGGGGACATTCAGCCGCCGCAGCAGCAGGGCTGGGATGCCGCTGGCGGTGGCAGCCGGCGGCCAAACAAGCGAGGGCTGTGTGCCGGCCTGGCCCCGCGCCGCCTTTCCATCCGTGCATCGTAAACCGGCAGTGGCCAGCGGGAGCGGCGGCGCGGCCAACACCGGCACCAGCCCCACGCCCGGTGGCCCAGGGGACCGCGGGGGCAGACGGAGCCCAGGTGGCCGCCCCCGACCCCGCTCCCAGCCCGCGCCATGCGCTCCCAGCTGTGCCAGCTGCAGGAGCTCCCCGGCGCTGGCAGGCGTGCTGGAATGCAAACAGATGTCAGCGCTGGAGGGATCCCGGCTGCTGGAGCGGGGCTCCGGGTGTCCCGCTGGCAGCGGGGAGAGCTCCTGGGCTGGGGACGTGTCCTGACGAGCAGCCTCGGCTGCCCTTGGCTCTGGTTTTGTGTCTCGGCTGTGCTGCTGGGCTGGCAGCAGTGTGGAGGGGCGGTACCAGCCCTGCAGAGCTGCTGTCTGCACTACCCTGAGCGCTGTCACAGGGGAATGATGCAGGGAGATGTGGGGCTCAGCCCCACAGCTGTAGGAGAAGGGACAGGGACACTGCTCAGATGCCACAGATGCTTTTAGGTCCCCCCTCTGGGACCTCAGCAAGACCCAAGGCTGGAGGGAGGGGCAGAGCCACAGGCAGGACACATTGGTGCCTGCTGCAAAACTCCAGCCTGGGCAACTGGGGAAATTGGGAAGTGCCTTGGGGGTGCTGGGAGTACGAGAGGGTGCAGGTGGAGAGAGGGAGGTTTATTGGTGAGGCAGGGACACTCCCACGGAGAGGGCTGTGGTTCCTGGTGGGACACAGAGCAGAGCAGCAATGCTGCCAGGCTTCCAGAGTAAAAACAGTCAGTTCCAGGGGCTGGGAAGGAACAGTCACACAGCTCTTCCTCACTCCTCCTCCTCCTCTTCCTCCTCCTCCATGGCGATGGGCTGCCGGCCGGCCGGCCCCACGCTGCCGCGCTGGATGGAGACGATGCCGCTGAGGAAGGCGTAGCCCAGCATGGCCGCCAGCCCCACCAGCACTGACAGCAGCTGCTTGCGCCGTTTGTGGGGGTCCTCCTCTGCCTCATTGCTGTCCGTGCCTGCAGCCCGAGGGGCACTGCTCAGGGGGTCACCTGCAGGGGCAGAGCAGGGGTGTGGGTGGGAAGGGTCACCCTGAGAGTGAGGGAAGCACCTGGGGGGGACAGGTCACCCCATGGCTGCAGGCTGAGGCGGGGGATGGCTCTCACCTCCGTCCCAGGGGAAGTAAAGGCTGAGGATAGAGGTGCAGTAGTTGCACAGGTTCTGCAGGGACTTCAGGTGCTGCTGCAGTTTCCCGTTGGGCAGCTTCGCCTTCAGGAGCGGCGCCAGGCGGCTGAAGACCAAGGCGTCGAGGGAAGCTGGCCTGGGGCACAGAGAGCCCTGTCTGGGACTCTGTCCCCACCCAAAGCCACCCAGAGCCACCAGACACCGCCAGCCCCAGCACCCCTAGAGGACAGCACGTGGCTCTCCCTCCTTGGGACAGTGCCCTGTCCCCTACGAGCCTCTTCTGCCCTCAAAGTGGCTGCAGCTCCCCTGCAGACCACGGGGCCTCAGCCATGCTGGGGTGTAGGGGCTCTCAGGTCCCTTCCTCTCCCCCCTCTGGCCACTTACGAGTCTCCAAAGAAAAACTTCTGGGAGCCGAGGCGCTGGGAGAGGAGTGTCAGGCATTCCCGAGCTTCCCGGTAGAGCTGCAGGAGGAGGACAGAGGGTTGTCACCTGCCCAGGTACCACCACAGAGCTCAGGGGAGCAGGAGGGGGAAACCCACACCCCAGTTTGGATTTTTTCAGAGCCAATCTTAAAGGTGCAAACCTTATTTCTGGGCTAAACAGACGAATGGGGATACGAGCATCATAAAGTCACCCAGGACAGCCTCACAGGGATTTCCCTGTGAGGACCCACTGTGCCCAGACCCCATCCCTCACCTCCTTCTCCAGCTTCTCCTCATCCTCCATGTAGTCATCCCCCCAGATGAGCTGCAGCCGCTCCAGGTGCCGCTTGTGCATGGCGTTGGGCAGGAAGAAGTTGAGGGGGAAGGGGATGGTTTCTGCGTACCACTTCCGCGTGTGCTCCACGTAGTTCTTGGCGTCCACCCAGAAGGTGTGGATCTATGGTGGAGAACAATCCACAGCCTGGCCACGGCAGAGCTGCTGGCACACCAGAGCCCCTGCCTGGCACAGCCACCCTGGAGACCACCAGGGGTCAAGGGCAAACCTCAGCCTGGGCTGCACAACCCACGGCTGCCACCCCCAAACGCCCATCCCTGCCATGCCAGGCTGCCAGGATGCTGCTGCTGGCAGCTGGGCACACCCAAGCCTGCTTGCACAGCTCCAGAGAGCAGACCCCATGCCCAGCAAGCCCCCCTTCCCTGCAGCCTCACCAGTACTGGCAGCAGCTTCTCCTCCAGCAGGGACACGAAGGCCAGCGTGTCCGCGCTCTGCGTGGCTGACAGGTCATAGTCAGCATTGTATTTCTGCAGAGAAAATGCCAGTTTGATCCCATGGGATAGCCCAAATCCCACCTGTGGGTGACACAACAGAGTCCCCTCCTCCCTGAGGGGCTCCAGCACCCAGCAGCCCAGCCCAGGCAGGGGGTGCCCCAAGCCCCTCTGTACCTGTTTCCTGAGGTGGGTTATGATCTGCTGAGGTTTGGAGATGGTGCCCTCGTCCCGTGTCCTCAGCGCGGGCAGGTGCCCTGCGGGCAGGGGGAATCAGTGGGGGCTGCAGTCACCATGCCCTGAGCAGGGGAGGGGTGCAGGGAACTGCAATGGGGGGTGGACACCCATGCCTGGATGGGGCACGAGGCAGTGCAGGGGTGTAAGGTGAGGTGGGACAAAGCAGTGCAGGGGAGGGGGCAGAAGGTGTGTGATGGGAAATGGGGAACGTTCCAGGACAAGAGGGGTGTGGTGGGGATGGACAGGGGGTGCAATGGGGAGCGATGGGACAGGGGAAGCAATGGGGCATAAGGGTGCAGTGATGCATGGGGGAACAGAAAAAAGAGGGGTGCAATGAGGTGGGGGGTGCAATAAGGGCATTCAATGGGACAGGAGTCGCAATGGGATGGGGTGGTGCAATGGGACAGGGGATGTGGTGGGGCATGAGGGTGCAATAGGGCAAGAGAGGGTGTGATGGAACAGGGATGGTGATGAGAAGATGGGGTTGGAACAGGATAGAGGGGAGTGCAGTGGTGGGGGACAAATGACAATGGGGTACAATGAGATAAGAGGGGGTGAGGGTGCAGTCAGGGGCATGGGAGATGAGGGATGCTATGGGGTGGGAGGGTGTCATGGGACAAAGGGTGCAATGAAATGGTAATGGTGGTAACGGGACAGGGGGAGTGATGAGGTACAGGGGGTGCAATAGGGTAGGATGGTGCCACGTGGGGAGGAGAGGCCATAGGGGAAGAAAGGTGCAGTGGGACAAGAGGGTGTAATATGGCAGAGGGTCAGCAGTGTGGGGCCACAGGACATGAGGGATGCTATGGGGTGGGAGGGTGTGATGGTGCAATTAGATGGTAATGGTGGTAATAGGACAGGGGGAGTGATGAGCTGCGGGGGGTGCAATAGGGTAGGATGGTGCCACGTGGAGGAGAGGCCATAGGGGAAGAGAGCTGCAGTGGGATAAGAGGGTGCAATAGGGCAGGGGATCAGCGGTGTGGGGCCACAGGAGGGATAAGACGGGCTGGGAGGCTGTAATGGGGTGGGAGGCGTAAGGCGCGCAGCGATGGGGAGTGGAGGCAACGGGATCACGGGGCTGCCATGGGGTGGGGGTCCTGGTGGTGGTGCCGGTATCCTCGGCAGGGCCCTTACCGGAGGGGCTCCTCCAGGGGCTGGTGACCCGGTGCACCTTCAGCGGCGCCCCCGTGAACCGCGCGTAGGTCTGCGGGAGGGACGGACGGAGGGATAGAGCGGGGCTCTGCCCGCGGGACCCCGGCCCACCCCCGTGCCGGCCCCGGCGCTCACCAGCACAGCCAGGCAGTCGGGATCCACCGAGGGCAGCCCCCAGCCCCCGGCCCAGCAGAACAGCTCCATGGGCGCCGCCATCTTCCGCCGACCCGGAACCGGACGGGCGGCCCCGCCCGCCCCCGCCGCGGGGCGGCACCGACCGGGGGTCCCCGCGATGGAGCGGAGCCGAGCGGGGTCCGGGCTGGGAATGGTGGTGGTGGGGTCTGCAGGGTCCTTGCGGCAGAACCCGCGTCCCGCTCCGCACCGCACGGCTCAGCTCAGCTCCACACCGCTGGGCCCCGCACCGTGATCACAGCCCTGCCGTGCCCCGCATCTCTCTGCATTGCCCCGCACCGCT